GTTGTACTGGCATTATCATTTACTTGTAGAAACTGTCTAATTTCTTCTTTAATTTCCTCTGTGACCCATTGGTTGTTCAGGAAGTTGTTATTCAATTTCCATGTATTTGTGGGAGTTTTACGCTTTCTTATGTTATTGACCTCCAATTTTGTTGCACTATAATCTGATATTATACAGGGGGTAACTTCAATTCTTTTACATTTACTTAGACATGTCCTATGAGCTAGCATGTGGTCTATTTTGGAGAATGACCCGTGTGTAGCCGAAAAGATTGTATATTCTGATTTTGCGGGGTGGAACACACTGTAAACATCTATTAATTCCATTTGTTCAATAACTTGGTTCAATTCTAAAATTTCATTAATTTTTTGTCTAGATGATGTCTATTTGTGATAGTGGGGTATTGAGGTCCCCCACTACAACTGTATTAGTGCTTATTTGATTTTTCATGTCCATTAATATTTGTTTTGTATAGTTGGGGGTATTTGTATTTGGTGCATATATATTTAGGATTGTCATCTCTTCCTCTTGGATTGTTCCCTTCACCATCTTTGTCTCTCTTAGTTTTGGTTTGAAATCTACTTTGTCTTCAAATAAGATTGCTACCCCCTGCTTTATTCTAGGTTCCTGTCACGTGGAGAACTGTTTTCCATCCTTTTACTTTCAGTCTATGAATTTTGAGTTAGGTGTGTTTCTTGTACACAGCATATTGATGGATTTTGCTTAATCCATTGTCAGTCTATTGCTTTTGATTGGTTGAGGCCATTAACACAGAGTTATAATTGATATTGACTCATCCTTGTCATGATTTTTTGCTGTTGTTGGCTCTTTTATTTCTTATTTTTTCCCCCTTTCCCTTTAGTTTCTTACCTTGCCTGGTGGCTTCCTTCTATTGGGCCTCATGGAGTCGTGACCTTGTCTTTTTCTAGGATATTGCTTAGAATTGTTTGGAGTGCTGGTTTGGTGTTCATGAAATTTCTCAGGTGTTGTCATAGAAGTATCTCATTTTCCCATCAATTTTGAAAGATAATTTTGCAGGATACAACAGTCTAGGTTGGAAGTTATTTTCTTTCAGTCCTTGAAGTACTTCACTCCAGGCTCTCCTTGATTTGAGGGTGTTGAGAAGTCTGCCATGATTCTGATGGGCTTTCCTTTGTATGTGGATTTGTTTCTTTTCTC